AAAAAAAAAAAAAAAAAAAAACAAAAAATTCATCACCTAGCCTCCCATCCCCTCCCTCAATGAAACTCCTACTTGCAATCAACTACCCTAATCCGCCGCCTCCAAGTACTCCTATATGATATCATGCCTCTTTGAAAGAACTAAAGTTTCCATATCAAGTCTCAATTGCTTATCCAACCTCCTTATTTCCTCGCCTCCTCAACCTCTCGCTTGTGACTTTCTCCACCCCTCCTACGAACATGGCCAAACCACCTCAACCTTCCCTCTCTCAACTTATCCGCGATAGACACAACTTCTAGATCTTCCTGGAAAACCTCCTTCAGTATCCTATATAACGTAGTGTTGCTGTTAGTTCACCTCAACATCCACATTTCTGTGACTTCCATTTTCCTCTCATATGCTTCCCGACATTCTGAACCATTCAACATAGTCGGTCTGATGGTCACCTTGTAGTAAGCATATGTAGTAGAAAAGCATCTTAAGGGGAGCTTGGTCGATATTGGGAATGGGAATCCTGGGGTGTGCTTTTTCATTTTCCCCCAATTTAGACATGAATGACCCATTGTCCAAATCTTGATAATGGAGCATCCGTTATACCAAACAACCAATAACATTGATTTTCATTCTCTTTCCCTTTCTCTGGTATCTCTTAACCTTCAACCAAGCACTCCCTTAGTTTAGTGGGCTCTATTTTGGACAAAGTCAAAGGTCAAAGATTATATTGTTGTTTAAGCTTTCTTTTTATGTAAATTGTATATTTCTAAATGCAAACTTTCTTTTTACCATGCTAAATAGCATTTCTCATGGTAATTAGTTTTAATAAGTTAATAATATGAGTTTTTCTATTAGAATGTTATACATTGTTTTTTTTTGAGTTTCTAATATAGATTTACATCTGCAATGGTAATTCTATTTAACAAGTTTGTGATGGTTACTTCTACTCTTTTATGTTAAAAAGGCTATATTTTGCTTGATTTTCAGTTTCAGTTTAAAAAAAATGCATTTTTGTAATCCGGGATTCTTTTCACCCATTGAACATTATTGTTTTTGATTGAAACAAATGCATAGCACCTTTACATACATCAATTATTAGCTACTATAATTAAGGTTTCCATTGTTCAAGTAAATTTTGATTGCAAATATCATCTTTTAAGTCAACAATTTTCCATGTGTACTTCAATAAGTTCTTGTTGGTTAGCTCCACAATTTTTCACCAACTGCATATAATTTGTGTGCAAACTATGTCCTAAATGTGTGCAAGCATACTTCCAAGCTCCAACGCTTTTGAACCATGACCATTTGATAAACTAATGAGGCCTGGGATTAGTTTGAATTCTTATGTGCAGAAGTTGTGTGCAAACTATGTCTTAAATGTGTGCAAGCATACTTACAACCTCCAACGCTTTTGAAYCATGACCGTTTGATAAACTGATGAGGCCTGGGATTAGTTTGAATTCTTATGCAGAACGAAGAAATAGGATGAAAGGGAGATAGAACACCAGCATCAAAGTATTTCCTTACAAGAATGAGTATGGCCGTATGGAGTGAATAATCCTTCTAACATAATAATCCTTCTGAAATTCCAAGACTCCTGGTGGATCTCCCGGATGCTACTCTAATTACCGCAGGCTAAAACCAACCATAAAACTGTAAAAAATAAATAACTGACCCCTAATGACTGCCTGCTACACTAAGATCCGTGATTAACTAGTGACTGTAAATCTACCTTCTAACAATAACCACACAAGACTTCGTCCTCCACTCATCAACTAAGACCCATGATTAATTAGTCACTGAAAATCTGCCTCCACTAACAATAACCACTCTAGACTTTGTCCTCCACTAATTACCAGCTTTTACCTCTTTTTCTCTTCCCACTTTGACCTCTTCATTTTTCTGGGATTGAGAATATGTGTCTTTTCGCCTTACGTAGGTCTGCGATGGATGACCCCTATCATTGACATAAATTATATTAACACATTAGAACGTAACTTACTAATGGTCAAATCAACTTCTTTTTGGGGAAATTAGATATTTATCTTAATACAAGTTCTTGTTATTAAGATATTGTGATCCTAGTTCATGAACATCCTACATCTGCCTCTGGGTAAATGGTAAAAGATTCTTGGTAACGTCTTGTGTGTACATAAAGGGTAAACCTCAATGCACTAAAGTTTCTCAAATTTCTGGTGTTGAGGAGGGAAATCATTGCACATGAAATTTCTTTGCATATTGAAAAGTTTGTTTTTATAGTCTTCTCCGAACATCGTTAGGTTGGATTCTGTTCTCATCCGTGAGCAAAAAGATGGTGACATAACGCAAACCCTTGGGGTTAATCTCATTGTAATAGGCTGAAAATATTGCATCGTTCTTGTATGTTTTTACTCATATTACCATGCCATGCATATATTCCTTTAATCGCATCTACATACACCTTTATCTCAAGAGCAACATCACGTCAATGAACACCATATGCACATCTTTTTTTTAAGTCCTTTATATCTATCCATTAGTCATCATCAAGAATGTAGCCTCTAGGTTGCCAATCTTCTTGACATAGAACATATTACCTATTTCACATTTTTGAATATTGTCTCAACCCAGAATAATATTCTCAACAATCCTCTGGCTTTGATATATGAAACATAAGCTTAATCTTCCCATAATTCATACGATTTTGAATATGATCTTTGTTCCTCTGTTCCTGTCATCGTTTATCCTCTAAGAACACTTTAAACAATCTAGCTAATGATGCGGTGGGATGGAGATCTGTAACAAGAGGTTGATTAAAACTGGTATTGAGGAAAGCAGTGAAGTGAGATTTCAGTGAGATTCTGGAACGAATTGGACCTTAGAAGGAAGGATGCTATAGGGTATATGATCCCTGTGGGTTTCGTCATTTTGTAATTTCTATATGTTTCGTTTCTAGTCTAGCCAGGATGAATTGGGGATAGAGGCTGGTTGTTGTTAGTGTGGTACTTATTTGAGCGACCCTATAGCTACTCCTAGGAATCTCCAAATTCTAGGAATACCATCAGAGTAAAGGTTAAACCCACTTTCATCTTTCTTAGAGCTTCTCTCACTGCCTACACTTCAATTTTAACAACTTACAAGATATCTATTTGTGTCACAGGAGTCATCATGCTCTCTTATATCCTTCACCATATCCAGTGAAAAGATTATCAAACTAACACAATCATCTTTGTTGTACCTTATCATGTTTGAATGTTCTCTTATATCCTTCACCATATGCATTTGATATTATTTAGGTGCTTTGCTGTCTATACAAGTCTCTTAATGTCTAATTGTCTATAAAATTGGCAATTTTGGACATAATCCCATACATCATTGCGCAAAATATTGTTTTGGTTTGATCTTTTGGCATACACCTTTGGGCCTTAACAGATCTTGTAATCCTATTCAGCCATTAAATTATAAGCAGGGTGTAAGGGGCTGTTTGGTTGGTTTTCCATTAAAGTTCTGTGTGGATTAATCTCTCCGTATGGATCCAAAAGTTTTTCGTTTGGGAGGGTTTTTCATAGATGGAATGAGCATGTTTTTTAATTGGGAAGGGCATGTTTGGATAAAACTTGGCTTTCTGCATAAAGTTTCCCCCTAGAAGCTTTGGAAAAAACTTGGCTTTCTGCATAAAGCTCCCCCCCTAGAAGCTTACTGAATAAGCCATTTTCTTTAAGCCACTACCAAACAGTCATGTATAGCTGACTGAATAAGCTGCGAGTCCCATTAAGCCCATTAAGCTGCTAACAAGCAGGCCTTGAATCTCAGATGTTAAAACTAACTAAACCAAATCTAAACAAACCAAACATACCCGGTAAATCCCACTTGGAGTAGTGTTTGAGGAGGGTATGATGTACTCATACCTTTCCTCTACTCCAAGGGGTAGAGAGGCCTTAGATGTTAAAACTGATCTCATTAAATGCAAAGGGAAATAACGGGGTTCACAATTATTTCAGATCGATGCTGCGCTTTTTCTCTAGCATGAGGCTTTACCGTACTGTTTGTTTTTGTTTTGTTCTTGTTTTCCCAGAACAAAGCCTAAAGAAGTATATATGTATCGACTGGTACCTCTTATTTTCCTGCTTTATCAAGTGAAAAAGTTCATCAGCACTTTTCTTGTACAAGTGCTACCTTGTTTAATAAGCTATTTTCGTGCGTATTGATGGATGTTGGTTACTAATGGATAGGAGATTTTTTTTTGTGTGGGTTCTGTTCTTTCTCATCCATAATAAATCCACCCAATCATATGAAAGGTTTATGCTCAATTCTCACACAACCAAATGAATGAATGATGAGTTAAAACTAGGAACCCATGAATACGACAAGACCCCAAGTCTCAACTTTCCTCTCTACTTGGAACTTGCTTTATGTCATCTGCACATATTTCTAATTAATCACTTGTAAGTTGTAGGTGCACAATAACTACTCTCTGGTCATAGCTGTCCTCGTTGACCGTGAAAAGCCGAAATATGGCATTTCTTTCAAATAAAACCATCATTGCGCAATTTACCATGCCATTCGTTATTTTCATAGGAATGGCTAGCCTGATAAACCCCTCATAGCAAAGGTGGCTCATGCCCTCTCCCAGTTCATCGCTGAAAACAAAAAGAAGAATTCATATGTTAATAGAAAGATGGGTAATAATTAGAGAATGGAGGCACTAGTATACTTCTGACATATATCAAATATGGGTTTCCGCATGCCAAAACTAAGGATTTGTCACTTAGGGTGCATTTGGTACTTAGACGGGACGGGTGGGAGTGATGTAGGGTTTTAATTAGACATGAATATATCAGTAATCTACCTGTCCATTCTCCTGGATTTTTGTTCCACTTATTTTGGTCTGGCCCTCTCTTGTCGTAGGCTTAATGTAATACCAAACGTGGGACAACAAGTTTTTGTCTTGTTCCTTCCCATTCTGCTAACCACACCTTTATGGGGAAAAGTTAGTTTGGAACAAGGGCTGAGAATGGATATAATAATTAAGAATGATACATTAAAAAGCTTCGTCTGGAGACAATAATATGACTTGCATTATGTGCAATTTATATAGATCACTTTAAACTTACGGAGAAAGACAAGAGTGCTTGGTTGTATTTCATCTACGCGGATGAGTGTTTTACTTGCTCTGTGGTACTCTTTATATGCCATTGTTAAGAACTTCATGATTCAATTTGTGCCAGCAATTAGGTCTTTTGAGCTCTTGGTTAGACTAGGGGTGTGTCGGTCTTTGTACCTTTGTTATATTTCTTTGCACCTGTTGTACGTTTCAATTTTGTTGCTTAATTCTTACCCTTTCAAGTTTTTTATCATATGTTTTTTATTGCTTCTGGCACCCTTCGCACAAGCCAGTTTCTTTCATGGAAACAACGCTCTACTCTTCCGGTCTTTCGTATAGAGGTCAGATCTGAGTACCCCCAAGGGTGGGATATACTTGATTGAATATTGAGAGAATTTTTCTAGAAAATCACATGGTTGGCACCGCTTTTCAATTGTAAATTAAAAATCTCTACTTTATTATGGCTGATGATTGGAAGTCATTTGCAGGCAACAGCAAAGTGATGAAACTCCGATGGTATGGGAAATGCTCCTCTATATCTATATCCTTTATTCACCAGATTGGCATTACCGTAGCACCATGCCCACATTTCTCTTCCTCTACGGCGTCTCTTTTGCCGTTCTCCATTCCGTCATCCGTTTCGATATCGGCTTCAAGGTTCATTATGTGATGCTGTGTCTGTTATGCATTCCGCGGGTTTACAAATATTACATATACACACAAGATATGTCCGCTAAAAGGCTCGCAAAATTCTATCTCGCTACCCTTTTCATCGGTAGTTTATGTTGGTTAGGTGATCGGTTTTGCTGCACCCAGATATCCCGTTGGCCGGTCAACCCGCAAGGTCATGCATTGTGGCATGTTTTCATGGGCTTCAATTCCTATTTCGCAAACACGTTCTTGATGTTTTGCCGTGCCCAACAAAGAGAATGGAGCCCGAAAGTCGTTCATTTTATGGGAATTCTTCCGTATGTGAGGATCGAGAAACCAAAGACACAGTAAGATGACGGTGGTCTTTGTTTCGGGATTCGGAGGTAGATACGGGTTTTTTGGACCGACAACGATAGCAGGTAACATCTCATATTTTCTTTGATTGATTTGGTTTATCTTTAATATGGTTTTTGGAAGTATGATTTGACAAGAAAGATTAGGTTTTTGTGAACTCTTTCTAGTTTGTGAAAGTAGAATGTTTGTGTACCATAAATACCTTCTAATGCTTTTGTTAAGGTTTTATGACACAATTGAAAGGATTGTACTTCTTATAAAACTTGTAGCTTCCTTTTGCAACAAACTTAACTTTTTAACATGTCGTATCTTACGAACGTCTAACGTTCCGTATCTTCTCGTTATCTTCATTGTCGAGATTCTTTTATCTGTTTCCGATCAAGGGTATTTCAGACATTTGACGGGCATTTTGTTTACGTTTTCATAGACACGGATGGAGTATAGTTTATCTGGAGGTCTTTACAGAAACCATCGTTTTACTCTGTTACATGTTTGTGTATATCGTTTCTCATAGACGGGAGATATATTGTGCGAGTTGGTTTCGTACTTGATAAGAGAACCAAAAGTTAAAATCTTTAAAAAAGTCGAATATTCTTTGAAGATTCCAACAGTAATTAATGTTATTAAAATATTTTTTTAAGTTTATCATAACAATATAATTTAAAAAGAACTTTATATATTATTTAATTAAATATTATTTATCATTATTATAAGGGAAAATTGTATCAAAATGGAACCAACTTTCACCTAATTCTTATTTTGGAGAACCAATTTTCAAAATCGTCATTTTGGGGAACCAACTTGCACCTGATTCCTATTTTGGGGAACCAAATTTTAAAATCGTTATTTTGAGGAACTAACTTGCATTTGATTCTTATTTTGGGGAACCAACTTGCAAAATAATTATAGAAAAATAACTAAAATTCGTTTTTTCCAAAAGTTAATGCGATAAAATCTATTTTTCATTTCAAATCTCGTTTTTTTTAATTCAGATATCAAATTGAACATTTTTATAAAAAATATCCAAATTACCACAATAAAAATTGGTTTTTACTAATGCAAAAAAAATCAATTTAACAGAAAAAAAATTTAATGGATGCAATAAAAAACAATTTTTATTATGGTAATTTAGATTTTTTTAAATGTTCAATCTGATATCTAAATTAAAAAAAACGAGATTTGAAATGAAAAATAGATTTTATTGCATTAATTTTTGGAAAAAAACGAATTTTAGTTATTTTTCTATAGTTATTTTGCAAGTTGGTTCCCCAAAATAAGAATCATGTGCAAGTTGATTCCCCAAAATAAGAATCATGTGCAAGTTGGTTCCCCAAAATGACGATTTTAAAAGTTTGTTCCCCAAAATAGGAATTAGGTGAAAGTTGGTTCCATTTTGGTATAATTTTCCCTTATTATAATTATAATTTATGTAATTTTTATTTATTTATACATAAATCACAAAGGAATGTTAGAACATCTTTAACAGTTATGTTATAATTTTTCTATAGTAGAGTATGAAAATCTAAATTTTTAAAAAAAATTACATGCAACTGCAATAATTATTATATTTTAATAATTCTAATATTAATAAAATATTTTATTATATTTTGTCAACCAAATATTTTAGACAACTACATTTCGGTTTTGATTTTAAAAGTCGAATAATTTATTTATTTAAAAAAATTATATAATAATTTAAAGACTCAATCGGAAAGTTCAGTACTATTGTTGCTGCTATCTTTGTTATTTATAACTATTAATATAATTATAGTTAATTTTTATTATTTTGTTATTTATAACTATTAATATAATTATAGTTAATTTTTATTATGGAAAGGTTGAGAATATTATTATACTTCTTTTGATTTCATCCAGGGGACCCGAAAAGCTCCATTTGACTTGAACAAATCGATTCCACATGACCTCGGGCAAATCTAACTTCATGTGACTTGAACATATTGATTCCACATGACTTGTCCTATCCGGACAAACCCGAACTCTGAAGTTTTGTCGAATATTTTGGTTCGGGTAGGGTCTTCATTTAACCCGTCCGAATATCCAAAAATATATGTATGTTTTTCCTATTGTTTTATATTTCCTTAATAAAACAAAATAAATAAATAACATTTAACAATCCACATATTCTATATACCGATAATCCACATACAAATACTCATAACATAGAATGTAATATCATTTACATAACATGTGTTAAACAAAAACTCTCTTGAATACATTTATGAGCAACTAAATGTCATTCATTTTAAACTTTTCCCTTGCCTTTATCTTGCGAGGTATGATGACCTGCAAAACAGGTTAGTCCAACAACTGAGCGTTAGACCTGAAAGATCTAGTGAGTGTATAAATCTCAAACAAATAACATATTTTCCAAACAATCAGTTCAGAATCAAACCTGTTAAGATACATATACTTATTTATTTCTCTCGCAGTTACACCGCCATTACATCTCCCTCGCGGTTACACCGCCATTACATCTCTCTCGCGGTTACACCGCCATTACATCTCTCTCTTCTTAATTATATTAAAAATTCTAACACATTAGCCGGATTTGAAGTCCGGTCAACCTTGTCCGGATATGAAGTCTGGACAAACTCTTAGAATATCAAGAGGGTTACATCGATCACGCCTTGAGCGGTTTAGCTTTAAGCCGATTAACACATGACCGATTTAAAGAGAATCCGGCTGTCCCTTGAGCGGTTTAAGAAAATATCCGGACAACACTTGGGTGGTTTAAGGAGATATCCGGACAACACTTGGGCGATTTAAGAGAAATCCGGTCAACACTTGGGCGGTTTAAGGGAAATCCGGTCAACACTTGGGCGGTTTAAGGACTTAACCAAATATTTATGAAATGCAGTTCATAAATAGCAGATTCCAGTAGTAAAAGAAGTAATAATCAATACTTTAAAGCAATATACACTCACCTTAAAATTGATGAACGGATTTGAGCCTGCGATTTACTCACTCAAAATTTACAGAAAAACTTCTAAAAACCAATCCCTTCCCTTTTTACATACACTTGCTATTTATAGCAAGTGTATGGCCACTTTTTAACAAAAGTCGGCTAACACCTCTCACTCACACAATCATATATATATATATATATATATATATATATATACATACATATATATATAAATTCCAAAATCTTAATTCGAAACTTATAACTCGAATATTACAGCATTCCCTCCTTAAAAAAATTCCGTCCCGAAATTCCATTTAAGCAAAAAGGTAGGGATACTTCATCCGCATTTCAGACTCCGATTCCCATGTGGCGTCTGGTCCTTTGTGATAACACCACTGAACCTTTACTAACCCAATCTCTTTGTTTCGTAGTTTCTTCACCTTGTAGTCAGTAATCTGTTAAGGGGTTTCTTCATAGCATAACTTTTCATCTACCTTAATTTCAGGTAACGATACTGCCACATCAGAACTTATTAGACACTTCCTTAAATTCAACACATGAAATGTGTCATGGATCCCACTTAATTCCAAAGGAAGTTTTAATTTGTAAGCCACTTCCCCAACCCTTCCAATAATAGGGAATGGTCCAACATATCTTGAACTTAATTTTCTTCTTTTTCCAAAACGTACCACTCCTTTCCAAGGTGATACCTTTAACATCACTTTATCACCTTCTTGGAATTCAATCGGCCTCCGACGTTTATCTGTATAACTTCTTTGTCTATCTTGTGTCGCTTTCATCTGTTCCCGTATTACTCCAATTTTATCTGCAGTTTGTTGAACTAACTCAAGCCCAACTAACTGTTTTTCACCTATTTCATTCCAACACAATGGAGTTCGACATTTACGTCCATACAGAACCTCTAAAGGTGCTGCTTGAATACTCGAATGGTAACTATTGTTGTACGCAAATTCTACGAGAGCCAAATGTCTATCCCATGATCCTCCAAAATCAATTACACATGCTATAAGCATATCTTCTAAAGTTTGGATAATTCGTTCACTCTGCCCATCAGTCTGAGGGTGATAAGCTGTACTTAGCTTAATTTGCGAACCCATTTCTCTTTGGAAACTCTTCCAAAACATAGAAGTGAACTGACTATCTCTATCAAAAACAATTGATAGAGGAACACCATGTCGTGTTAGTACCTCATCAATGTATAACTTTGTTAATCTCTCCATCGAATATGACTCTTTCATAGGTAAGAAGTGTGCAGATTTGGATAGCCGATCTACTATCACCCATATAGCATCATAACCTTTTGATGTTCTCGGTAATTTGGTTATGAAATCCATAGTGATATGATCCCACTTCCAAAATGGAATTTCTAAAGATTGCAACTTACCATAAGGGCGCTGGTGTTCAATCTTTACCTTAAGACATGTCAGGCATTGCTCAACATGTTTAGCAATATCTTTCTTCATACCTGGCCACCAATAGTGTTGCTTCAAATCCCGATACATTTTATTTGTACCTGGATGTATTGCAAAACGTGACTTATGAGCCTCACCCAAAATACGTTTTCTGAGATCACCATAGCATGG